ATTGCAATGATTACAATCCCCTGCATGCTTCATCATTCAACAGTATTTGCTTTTATTGCCTCTTTTTTTTTTTTGGATGTACACCAAAACACTCAGAAATATACAATCATTCAAACAGCCACAGGGCACACCTTGTAAACCTGCCCCTGGCCGCCAGCACACAGCCCCTCTCCCTCCATGAGTCTAGAGACCTCAGCTGCTCTATCTCTCCATGTTACTGTCTCTGCCCCCATCTCTGGCATCGCAGCTTCTCTGGGTAGGGTCCCACACTCTGCTCTTCTCCCTTGATGGTCCCAGGGTCCTCTGCTTTGGGACAGTAAGATCGACCACTCACCCCTTTTGCCACAAAGCTTCTACCTTTACAGTTGCGACAACCGCAATTACAGACTTTCACTTTTGACATTATTTGTTACTGTTATATTATTTTTATTCTAACAGGGAAAGGCAAAAAAAGATTTGTTCTAAATAGGAAAAAATGGAGACTCTGAAATGTATCCATTAGTAAGGGACAAAGACCTCTCCTTCAGATATCTAAACGTCTTTGAAATCTGTACATCAATAATGAACATATCACTGCACAGGCTCTTAATTTAGAGTGAGCCCTTCACTCTTTATGTTACAGAAGAGTAACTACCGTGTGGGCCTGGAACAGTTACTGTCACATACAAGTAACTGACCGGAGCTTTTGGGCTCGGTGACACAAAGCACAGTCGGTCCATACTATACCGCCCCCTTCTGGAGAGAGGAGGGCTATTTAAAAGCCTGCACATCAAAACATCAGCTACTGTCCAGAGAACGCAGACTCATGGCGACCCCATATATGTTAGAGTAGAACTGTGTTCCAAAGACTTCTCAGTGGCTGATTTCTTAGTTCACCAGACCTTTCTTAACAGCCAAGTGTGTTAACCATCTGCACCACCCCGGTTCTCATCAAAAGGGTTTAGATTTGAGGGGGAAAACAGACAGAATGATCTACTGGCTACTGACCAAAAAACAATAAAAATAGTATTCAGTTTGTTGAACTTTTATCAAGTGCTGCATAAAGCAAGGAAAGAAAATCTACTTAAATCCTAACTGTCAACATCCACTGAACACTTCCTGCATGCAAGGTCCCTCAGTCGATCTTCACCACAGACCTGTGTAGGAACTATATTGGTCTGTGTTTGACCAGTGAGAATGCTGAGGTTCAGAGAGGTTGCCCAAACTCACCTTGCAACCCAGAAAGAAGAGTCTGTGCTCAGATCTACAACTCCAGCCTACTAACAAATCAGTCATTTCAATAGTGGACCAAAATGTATCGACAGAAATTTAACTTCTCGGACCCGACTCGATGGCACTTAACAACAACAACAACCTATAGCCCTGATGGTGCAGTGGCTAAGCGCTTGACTGCTGATAGAAAAGTGGGTGATTCAAACCTACCAGCCACTCCTTGGGAGAAAATGTGGCAATCTACTTCTGTAAAAACCCTACAGGGTTTTTATGGGTTGGAACTGATTCAACAGCAAACAACAGCTCCTCGACAAGTTAAGCTTTCACCTTAATGAAATATGAGGGGGCCTCAAAAAGTTTGCGGCAAAATGGAATTACAAGATAATGGAATTTTTCCATGAACTTTCTGAAGCTTCCTCCTACATTTCATCATAGCCTGGATTTCTGCTGAGCAAAATTCAGGATCAGGGGATTACTTTTTGCTTTTGTTTTTTCTTTTAATACAGTTTTTGTCACTAACTTTAAACCTAATCCAACTAAAACGTCTGTAAAAAACCACTTCTATTTTCAGAAATTCATATCAACACTAAATGGAGCAAATGGATATTTAAGTAGGTTTGGAAATAGCAATTCCTCCCCAAAGATTGACTCCTTTATCAACTGCAAGCTTGACAACGGAAGATATTGATGTCTGTGTACCTCTTCATTTTACACAATATTTACACAGCCAAGTGATTCTCTGAACAGTAAGCCTGGAGGTAACCCTTACGTGAGAAGCCCCATCACCATGGCAACTAGAAACAGTAATGATTGCACAGCAATTCATCATGTATCTCAACTAGAAACTGCTTTCCTAGGACTGGGGAATAACTCAAAGTCATACTTCACTGAAAAAGAACTCAGTTAAAGAATAACCTGAGGTGGTGCTTGTTTTTAAGTTTTCATCAAATTTGTATGCTTTTCTGCTAGGGCATCTATCTTAATATTAACTCCCAGTTCAGAGAGGCAATTAATATGTCTCCAAAAGAAATGTTGATGCATTCATCCATTCACCTGGCCAAGAAATTACTTACAGAGTCAGGATCCTGAGGCAGGCAGTGTGCGAGATGCAGGGTGTACCACTGTGAATAGGACAGTTAGGGACTCTTGTCTACTGAGCTTCCAGTGTGAACGATAAGCAAGCAGGCAACAAGGAGGCAGGGTGATACAATGTGTGTGCTGCCTGACATACAGACTAGTCTGGGCAGCTCGGGCACATCGGACTTCACACAGGAAGTAGTGGTTATGTTAAGAGCTGACCCACAAGCAGGACCCAACAAAGCAAAGCAAGTCAGGGAGGTGTGTGGGCCTCAGGGGAGTTCCCAACAGAGGAGACATCCATAAAGCCTTGGAGGGTAGAACCAACAGGCACATTAGGATCTAAAGTAGCTTTGCATGACTGAAACAGGTGTTCACCGTGTGTGGGGATGAAGAAAAATCAAGGATGGAGAGATAAGGAAGGCCAAAAACGAAGGGGTTTATACCCAAAGTCCTAGCAAGGACAAAGTATGAACTATTACTATATCTGGATGAATAACACAACATCACATTGGGCAAAACAAGCCACAGACAAGAGTACACGCTGTATTAAAAACAAAACAACCACTGCCAACAAGTCAATTCTGACCCATAGTGAGCCTATATACAGTTACAAAGACCATAGATCTCTACAGCCTCATCTTTCTCCCATAGAGAAGCTGATGGGTTTGAACCACCAAACTTAAGGTTAACAGTCCAGTGTGTATCCTACAGCACCACCAGGACTCCTTGCATACTGTATAATTCCATGTACATGTTCTGGTGTGGCACTGTGGGCTAATGCGCTGGACTGCAAAGTCTGCTTGAACTGCGAGGTCGGAGGTTCAAGCTCACCAGCCACTCTTCAGAAACCCTATACAGGGTCACTTTGGGTAGAAACTGACTCAGTGGTACTTAGTGACAAGCAACAACAGCATGAAATATAAAATTAGGCAAAATTACTCTGTTGTTAACTGTCGAGTAGGTTCCGACTCACAACGACACTGTGAAGGGCTTCCAAGGAGCAGCTTGGTGGGTTTAAACTGCTAACCTTATGGTTCCCAGTCCAGCGCTGATCCCGCAGCACCACACCAAGATCGAAAGTGAGATGAAGATGGGGACTTTGAGACTGAACACGGAAAGGAGGCCAACATGGCTTTGTTGTTGTTGTTGTTGTTAACTGCTGTCAAGTCAGTTCCCATTCATAGTGACCCTGTGAAGGGTTTCTGCCCTTGTGGCTCAAATGGACCTTGCAGTCCAGTGCCTTATCCAACAGCACCACACCAGGGCACCCCGGTTAGGGAGCTGAAAATGTTCTATATCTTGATCTGGACATGGGTTAAACTCGTTACACGTGGTTAAAAGTATCAAACTTACACTTATTTGTGCACATCACCATAAACAAAAGGAGCTGTGATAGCGTAGTGGTTACAAGTCGGGCTGCTAACCTCAAGGTCAGCAGTTCGAAACTACCAGCATGAGAGAAAGATGAGGCTTTCTGTGCCTGTAAAGATTTACAGCCTCAGAAACCCTAAGCAGGGTTGCTATGAGGTGGAACCAACTCCAAGGCACACCACCACCACCATCACCACCATAAACACATGACACCTTAGTAAAAAGGGAGTTCTCCACAAACAGCTGGTGACTGAGCTCAAGAGACTAATGTAGAGAGGTAAGACTCCAGAGACTTAAGTGGGGAGTTAAGTGGAGAATTTAGAAAGGGCCTCAGAGCAGCCTACCAGTTAAGAGACTATAGAAGAGTCACAGAGAAGACAGAGCAGCCCCAGAGGTAAAAGAAAACAGAGAGTGTCACCTAACAGCCAAGAAGAAAGGAAGTTGCAAGGAGGAAAAAGCCAAACTCTAATGCAAACTCAGAAAAGAGAAAGACTAAAAGGAGGTCCCCTTTACAGAAGCCATTTCTAAGATAGAGGAGGACGTCAAATTCAGATAAACTGAAAATTGGGGAGAAGGGAAATGAAAACATCAACTGTGAAATTTTCTTTTTCCAGAAGTCTAGACTTGAAGCGAGAGATAGGACAGGAGTAAAAGGGAGACAGGTTAAGGAGAGATTTTTGATTTGTTTATATCGTTTCAAGACAGGATAGACATGCTGTTGTTGTTACGTGCCCTTGGGTCTGACCCAAAGTGACTCTGTATAGGGTTTCCAAGGAGCAGCTGGTGAGCTTGAACCACGGACCCTGCAGTTCAAACCAACTTTGCTGTCCAGCGCATTAACCCACAGAGCAATGATAATCAAGGATAGAAACAAAAGCATGACTATATGAACCTATACGAGGAAGCCTCAAAAAGTTTGTGGAAAAATGGAATTTAAATATAATGGAATTTTCCCTTCCTAATATACATGGACATATTTAGACTACCCCACCCAAAATGAAGAAAACACAGCAAGTTACTAAGCAAGACAACTGCTGTCTGCAAACATTCTCAAGTCATATATTAACAATGAACAGCTACTGAAATCAAGCATGACCGAGACAAGCTGTAAACCATGAAGCCACACATTATAGGAAAAGGAAAACAAAAGCCCCTACACTTACTTCACCACCCCTGCACCCATCCCAGCACCCCAGCTGAGTAAAAATACCCTCGGTACTGAGTGAAAGAGTAATTTGAAAATAATAACTAGAAGATGAGGAAGTTACTATCCAGTGGATTTTTGTTCCACTGGCTCTTCATTTCTTGAGAAATAGGCATTGTTATTAAATAGTTACCAGCTTTGGAGTTTTCAGGATGCTTGTCAGGGTGACATTCCAGGGCTCGGACCTTAAATTCTGCCAGGATTTGCTCAACCTAAAACAAAAACAACAGGCAAAATAAGGAGTCCAATTTGGCATGAAGAAAGACTCTGGGCGCCAGTCCTCCCCAAAACAGCCATGCTCAGCCCACCTTTTTAATTGGACCCTTATAAGTCTATTTTGACTTTCTACTCTAGGAAATGCTTTCCTCAATAAGGAAATTCAAAAATTCATAAAAGTTCTTATTCAATTAATGGTTGGTATCAACAATTTAGCTTGATAGCATAGTGCATAGCAGCATAGTTAGCATAGTCGGGCTGCTAACCTCAAGGTCAGCAGTTCAAAACTACCAGCTGTTCTATGAGAGAAAGATGAAGCTTTCTACTCCGGTAAAGATTTACAGCCTCAGAAACCCTGTATAGGGTCGCTATGAGTCAGAACCAACTCCACGGCACATAACCACCAAGACTAGATTTAAATGATGGTTTTAGATGTCTGTGAGCTCTATATATTTAAATGTCTAAAATGGTCAAATAGGTTCCTTCGCCTAGAAAATAAATAAAAAATAAGCCTTCATGTGGATTTCACTCATAGTCACCCCATATGCTTCAGAGTAGAACTCCTCCATTGGGTTTTCTTAGCCAGAATCTTTACAGACACACATTTCCAGACCTTTCTTTCTTGGTACCACTGGGTGAGTTCGACCCATCACCTTTTTTAGATTAACAATTGAAGTTAAGAATCCCTGAGTTCTTCAAACTATATTGTCACTATTCATTATTCAGTGACGACTGTCCCAGTTTATAAATTATCCGTTGTATAGCCTCTTTATCCAGCCTCCTAGCGCTTTTAAATTTTTATTAAGAAAAAGGACAGACAAATCCAACCATTTTGTTAGCATTTAGCAGGTTGGCTAGAAATTTTGATTGCAAAAACAGAAACACGCACCCAAACTAAAATTAGGTTTGAGGGCTATCTATGATTTGATTTGATTTTACCTTACCCATTGTCTACTTCACATTATAATTAATGATTGCCATTATTAATCATCACTGCGATGACTGCTGGAGGAGGCAATAATGGTTCATTGTTGTTGTTAAGTGCC